TACTGAGTACAATACTGTTTAAATGTAATAATTCAACCGTAAACCTAAAAATTTACAGCCAATTTTGAAAGAGATGCATCTTAGCTTTGGAAATTGTTATTGAATATGTCAATGCTGTTGTAATGAAATGCTTCTTCTAAGTATGTGGTTATTAAATAAATAATTAAACAAAAGGTGATAAGGGCAGGGACTTAACTCCTTAGGGGGTTGTCCTTTAAGAAGACACCAGAGAACTTGCATACTCACTGTCCAAACTCATTCAGAAAAAGGTCACATGAGGCCGTGTAATGACAAAGTGACTATCTACAATTTAGGAAGTGACCGCTTTCAGAAAACAAACACTTCTAGAACATTGGTCTTAGTCTTCCTAGCTTTCAGGAACTATAAGAAAACTTCTGTGGTTAAAGCCACACAAACAATGGTGTTCGTTATAACAGCCTGAGCAGACCAAGGCAGGATTCTCTGAGAAGATGATAAAGAGTGAATAACTGTGAGGCGGACAGATGGAAGAGCAGGACTGACTGAGCAGGCCGGGGCAGTACAGAGAGCCCGTTTGAAACTGGGACTATGTATTTATAACTCCACCAATATTCTCCACTCCAAGGTTTCCCCCAACCATGGTTAGTGACCCAGGTATACATATGATGCAGATGTCACCTGAGAATATCCCTCAATAGACAAAAGCAACCAAATATTACATTTCTCGAATCAAACTGCCAGTGTTAAAACACTGGGTTCTGCTTTTGTGAACGGTGTAACATTGAACATTTTCCTTAAACTGAGAGAGCTTCATATTTCCATCTGGAAAAGAGGAATTAAAGAGCAACAAGTATCTGGGATTATTGAGATAATTCCATGAGATAATGAACATAAAACACTTGACATAGCATCTAATGCCTTTCAAGCAGTTAGTATGTTGCCACTTGCTGTTTATAGATTTGAACGTTCACACAGAACTTTTACATGGAGGCATGGGCTAAGAGAAGATACCGAAAACTTGTTCCACGAAAATTAAATTGGATGTGAAGTAAAGTGATCTTTTGACATAAGGTCTTTATGTGAATCTGGACCTCACCAAGTCAGCTAGACTAGCCAGTCTGGACAATAAACCCTAGGGTTCTTCCTGTCTCTAAGTTCTGAGTGCTGGGATTACAAACATGCCCTGCCAAGGCAATGCTCAAAAAGATCTGAATAGGGCATCGGATCCGCTAGAACTAGAATACCAACAGTTGTTAGCAGCCATGTAGATGCTGCTGGGAACTGCATTCTGCAAGAGCAGCCAATGCTCTTAACTGCTAAGCCATCTCTCCAACCCCTTAATCTTTTTTTTTAATTCATTGATTTTTATGCTTGTTTATTTTTAATATTTATTGTCCTATATAGATTTATACTGATTTATACTTATAACAGGCATATTTGTTTAATTCGTTCTTCCTGGGAATGCCATATTTGTTCTGCTAGGAATGTAGCTAGGCAGTGTAGCACTTGCTTAGTATGCACAAGGCCTTGGGTTTGATCTCTAAAACCACAAAAACGAACAACTTGCCTAGTTCAGATTTGCTCATTGAAACACACACCTGGAAGATATTTATTAAGCATCTACAGTGTAAGACTATAAAGACAGAAATGTTTCAAATACCTCTAACACAAACAGCAAATATTGGCATGTCTAATACTCCATCTACATCACACCAAAAAAGAACATGTATCATACCAAATGAAAACTTTCTGAGAAGATAAAAACCATGAAAAAGATTGCAATCTCCAAAATAAACTAGAATTTCATCTAGGTATTACTCATGCAAAATGATCTTATAATAATTTTTTTATCATTTCTACTTAATATCCTGGAAGCAGGTGCAGTTCACAAAACATTGTCCTTTGAGGTAGACATCTAATTACACTCACTCCTTTTTTCTTAGCAAATAACTGTCTATGGAAGATCTATTATGTGTGAGAACTTAAATTTGACAAACGATTTAGGTATGCTGTGGTTTTTAAGGAATTATTTAACTCCACAAAGTGGTCTTTTCTTCTTCTTCAGAGAACTTATTGGATATCAGAAGAATGTATTAAACACAATTGTGTACTTGAAGGCAGAGGCTGGTTTTAATAGTGACTGCTAGATCATTTGCTATGAGGAGAGATGAATGGAGCTAGCTCAATCTTCACTAAACCTGTAGTCTTTGAGACTTTGAACTTTGATTTTCCTTTCAATTATTTTTGTTGGAGTAATGCTTTCTTTTGAGGGATGGAAATAATATAAAAGTGGGTTGCCTAGAAGATTTGTACTCTATAGTTCCTACTGGCTTCTTAGGACGAAAAGGAGAAGGCATTGAACAAATGCAGCCTTCACATACTGATTAAGTTAAGAACAGAAAATACAACTGTGTAATGTAACACTGGTTTCCATGCTCTGGCAAGCATGGCCTAACAGATGCTTTGGGAAGGGAGCTCTTACCGTGAACATTGAGGTTAAAGTACTTTTTGGCACTCCCTGCTGTGTTCTCCGCGATGCATACATACCTCCCGATGTCTGTTATTTGAGCATTTAGAATCTAAGGGAAAAGTGGAGAAATAACTGAAACTGTTAATAAAGGAGCTGACAATATTTTATTTAATTTTTTAGAAAAACAAGAAGTGTTCTTTCAAACAGTTAATACCAGATGAGCATAAGAAAATGAAATTGTTATGCACACCAGTGCGAATGTTGTGAATAGTTAAGTTAGGCAAACAAGTATTCATTTATAAAACCTCCCACAGAAGAGGCGATTTTACACACATTTGTGGTGTCTTGCCTATAAATTATCACAAATTATTTTCCTACTTTGCTGTCTGTGTGGCTGGAAATGTGACTCTGAAGCCTCTCTTAAGAGGTGGAACAAAACATGTGAACTAGCGTTGGCTTGTGATTGGTCTGGACAGTGGAATTTGTGAGGGAGTGATGATGTATTGTTTAAGAAACATCATAGCCTCTGCACTTTTTCTCTCACCTTTGAAACTCTGTGGTCAACATCTGAGAATGCTTGGCTAGCCTGCTGGAGGTGTGAGCATGAGGGATAGAATCAGCTGGTGCTGCATCCAAAACCTCTGATATGTGCAAGAGCCCAGAGAGATTATTCCAGCTATATGTTAAGTCTACAGCTAAGCAGAGATCTGAATAAGCCCATCTGAGACTCAAAATACCATCCACCCAACTAGAAGAATTCTAAGATAAATAAATCCTTATTGCTTCAAGTAATTAGGTTTTGGAGGAATTTGTTTTATGCACCAGAAGTTAGCTAAAACAGTAGAATGCTTATTTTATTGTGCAAATATTTCTATCCAACTATCTTTCAACCCTAGTAATAAAAATACTTTAAATTTTGATAGAGGTTCTATGGTCTAGATATATTCACATGTAGATAATACTTTGAGAATTCAAGTTTATTTCTTAGCAGTGAACATGATTTTTAAAAATAATATGTGAAATATATCCTGTGCTGGATCCACTGTTGTGCTTGAATTTGTGAACCAAAAGAATATTATTTATTATATTGAACTAATAAGTTAATCACATTGTATCTTAATGAAAGAATTGGTATTATATCTACAAATCCCAATTTTTTAACTGAAAAACAAGTCTCATTTATATACGGTTCCCATTATGAATTGCCTGTGTCAATATAGGACAAATCTAAGCTATGAGAAGCCTTATGTTACTTAGAATTTTATCATCAATACAGCTGACTTATCAGTGCAAACTATGAAAGCCAGATGAGCCTGAGTATTTCCAGTTCTACATGACAATAGATGCCAACATAGGACACTTTACCCAGCAAAAATGTCTCTTACAGTTGAGGGGGAAAGAAAAATCTTCCATGACATGAATAGCCTGAAAGAATACATGTCCGCATTAAAAAGACCATTCACCATGATCAAGTAGGCTTTATCCCAGAGATGCAGGGATGGTTCAATATATATAAGACAATAAACATCATTAATCATATAAATGGACTCAAAGACAAAAACCACATTGTCATCTCAATAGATACAGGAAAAGCTTTTGACAAAATTCAGCATGCATTTATGTTCAAAATCCTAGAGGGAACTGGACTGGAGGGAACATACCTCAACATAATTAAAGCTATATACAACAAACCCACAGCCAACATCATTCTAAATGGAGAAAAAGTGGAAGCATTCTCATTAAAATCAAGAACCTGACAAGGATGTCCACTGTTTCCACTTGTTTTCAACACAGTGCTTGAAACTCTTGCTAGAGTAATAAGAGAGGAGAAGGAAATTAAAGGAGTACTAATTGGAAAAGAAGAAGTCAAACTATTACTTTTTGCAGATAATATGATACTATAACTGAGAGATCCCAAAAGTTCCATCAGAAAACTCCTAGAACTGATCAACACTTTCAGTATAATGGCAAGCTATAAATCAATCTACAGAAATCAGTAGCCTTTCTATATACCAACAACAAGCACTTAGAGAAAGAATACAGGGAAATGCTCCCTTTCACAATTGCTGAAAAAAGTATCTTGGAATAAATATGACCAAAGACACCAAAGATCTCTACAGTGAAAAATTTAAATAGTTAAAGAAAGAGATTGAGGAAGACACCAGGAGATGGAAGGATCTCCCATGATCATGGATTGGAAAAATTAATATTGTGAGAATGACCATCCTACCAAAAGCAATACATAGATTCAAAGCAATCCCAATCAAAATCTCCATGACATACTTCACAGAATTAGAAAAAAAAAATCCTTAAATTCGTATGGAAGCACAAAAGACCCTGGACAGCCAAAGCAACCCTGAGCACAAAGAGCAACGCTGGGGGGATTACTATACCAGATCTCAAAGTATACTACAAAGGTATAGTCATTAAAAACAGCATGGTATTGGCACAAAAATAGACACATAGGTCAGTGGAACACCACTGAATCCAAACCTCAGTACATGCAATTTCAGCCACCTGATATTTGACAAAGGTTCCAAGAACACACACACACAATGTAGGAAAGACAGCATTTTCAACAAATGGTGCTGGCAAAACTGGATCTCTACCTGTAGAAGAATGAAACTAGATCCTTATCTTTCACCTTGCATAAAAGTCAACTCCAAATGGATCAAAGACCTCAATGCAAAACTGGAAACCCTGAACCTATTCAAAGAAAACATTGGCAGTAACTTAACAAGGTATAGGTGTAGGAAAGGATTTTCTAAATTGGACAGAAGTTGCTCAGGAATTAAGGTCAGCAATCAACAAGTAGGACCTCATTAAACTAAAAAGCTTCTGTACATCAAAAGAAACAATAAAAAAAGTGAAGAGAAAATTCACAGAATGGGAAAAAAACTTCACCAGTGACACATCTGACAGAGGTTTAACATATGTTCACAGTCCTAGAGGTAATTGGACTAGTGGGAATTCTCAAAGGAAGAAATAAAGATCCCTAAGAAACATCACAAAAAGTGTTCAACATCATTAGTAATTAGGGAAATGCAAATTAAAACTACCCTAAGTTATCACCTTACCCCAATCAGACTGGTTAAGATCAAGAGAACAAATGATACCAAATACTGGCATAGACGTGGAGAAAGGGGAAAGCTCATTCACTCCTGGTGGGATTGCAAACTCATGCAACCTCTATGGAAAACAGTATGAAGGACTCTAAAAAATGAAAATGAACCTACCATATGACCTGGTTATACCACTCCTTGGCATATACCCAAAGGACTCATCCTATTGCAGAGACACTTGTACAACCATGTTTGTTGCTACTCTTTTCACACTAGCTAAGAGATGGAAGCAATCTAAGTGCCCCTCAACTGCCAAGTGGTTAACAAAAATGTGGTATATTTACACAATGGAGTTCTATTCAGCAGTAAAGAAAGATGAAATAATGAAATTTGCAGGTAAATGGATGGATCTAGAAACTGTTATAGTAAGTGAAGTAAAATAAATGACGTATGTTACCCTCATATGTGGATCCTAGCATGAAATCATTTTAAATTCCAGCTCCTTTTAATAAGATGACGCTATACAGAAGTCCCTTCTGCATGAAATAACTACCATCATTATGACTTCAGCTGAGCCTGATCGCTAAACATCATCACAATTGGGCTTGTTGACTGTTGTGCTCATTCATTATAGAAGGGCCAAGCAGGGTCATTGGACCCTCACCAGATTATGAAGCCACTCTTCCCAGCCAGCTGTATGTAATTTGGCCCTAATCACACATGACCTCCTGGATTTGGGGAAGGCTAAAGTATACAATCTGGGGAAGGCTAGGAAGAGAAGGCATGACCCATGCTGGGTAAAGGCTTTTCAGTGTGCATACCCTCAGGTCATGCATACAACTCAGCAACCCCTCATTTATCTCCGTAAGCAAATTCAATAAATTCATTGGTTCTCCAGTAAAACTTTAATAAACAATTTATTTATTATTTTTATTTTATGTGTATGAGTGTTATGTCTGCATGTAAGTGCACCCGTGTCATGCAATGCCTGCAGAGGACAGAAGCGGCTGTCGGATCCCCTGAAACTGGAGTTACGGACAGGTGTTAGCTGCCTTGTGGGTGCTGGGATTCGAACCCGGGTCTTCTGCAAGAACAACCAGTGTTCTTAATGACTGAACCATCTCTCAAGCGCCCCCCCCCAGTAAAACTTTAATCAAACATTGGCTTGACACTAGAACCTTAAAAGAAAATAAGCATTGCTTAGCATCCCCAGGAAAATAAGTCTCAAACAAATGGAAAATTTATTTGTTAATGCTATTATGTCTCATGATTATTTAATAAAAAGAAAATGAGAATGTAAAAGATGTTAAAAGGATATGGCAATGAAGACATTTTCCAAAATAGACAGAAAAATTCAAAAAGCCTAAGCAAGTGATGAAGGTCTGTT